TCTTTTTTCTTTTTCCTGTATGACCGCAAGAGTTGTTGAAAGCGAACGTGAAAAGAGCAAGTTTTTCAACTTTAAGGATAAAGAACAACGTGATTTTCGTTTTTACTGGTAATTTTTAGAAGAAGTATTTCTTTATTCTTTTATGAGAAGAACAACAACGACGTTTTCTTCGTAGCCGTCAACCAGAAATAAACAGAAGAAAATAAAAACCGCGAGAAATTGGTCACACTGAATTTAAGTTACCATTGAAATGATTCAGTTATAACGCGTTTTACTTCTTAATTTTTACTTCCCTTTCTCTTGACTGGCTCATAACTAAAGCGGAAAAGTTGCCGAAAAAAGATTGCTTGACAAGTCACTTTGTTCTTCTATTGAGAATGTTTTGAATATGAGTTGGAAAAACCTATTGCAGGAAAATCTTTTAATTTAAAAACCCAGCTGTTTTGAGTCTACCGAACGATTTTTTTATCTTTAATCGTTCGTACCAACATTATTCACAATGTTGATTTAAAATACAATTAAAAAATGGTCGAATTGAAAATCCTATGTACGGGTTACTGATTTCCACAAGATATAACCGTACAAGATATAACTGTAGTACACTAAGACCGCCGTCAAAGAAAATATTTCCAGTTTTGATTCCTCACATTCACAAAATTATTTTTCACGACAACTTCTTCGGGCACTTTTTGGCGCACTCGACCAGCACAGCGCAAAATCTATCGTTTTAAAAATAGTTTTAGACATGCAGCTGAAGCGAATTCTCTCATCTGTGTGAAAACTGTATAACAAATCGTGTTGACTTCTAGCAGAACCGTCACTGAACGACCTGACAAAGACATGGTGATTAACACGCTATGCACACCTATAACAGCCGTCATAGTATCTCATTTTCATCACATGTGACTTTTCGAATACAGGAAATCACAAAATGTTTTTTACCTGCTTCATTTGTTATGAAGCGAAGGGAAACACTTTTGCAAATTTATTTTTGTTAGGTGCGATTATAAGCTTCCAGTGCACCAAATTCTAGTAACCGTTGCGAAAAATTTCTGAATTTTTACTTTTTTTTCTATAAAAATTTTTCGAAAAACGAAACACATGATTTAACTGAGCACATGATTTAACTTAAATACACTTCCAGTGAACTGGACTGATGACAAAGGTCCAGGTACAGAAAAAAGAAGCTAAAAAAGAATCAGAAACAGTGCTAACTCGAAGCCGTAAAAAACATTCCGGTAATGCAATCGTTGACAAAGAAGATCTAGAAAAACAATGATTTGAAACATATCTTTACGCTTTTCAATTACATATAAAATAGCTGTAAAATTTCCTATCCGGTTTTAGAAAAAAAGAAATACGATCTTATTTTTCAAGATTTTCCAATTGTTCTTTAGTTTCCAACACTTATGAATTCACTTAAGACGTCGGCGCTGCTCAAAGAATTACGTCCCTTAGCTTAATTCAGTAAAGTAGTAAAATCAAAAAAAAGAAGATATTAAAAATTTTTGGTTTTTAATTACTAGTATTGGTGCATTTGTCTTAATAACATACTTCTTCAAAAAATGACTAAACTGTCCATCGTTAACCTCACGCCTATAAGTTGTTGGATCAGAAAATGTCAATCATTCACATCTACTAATTATAAAAAAAATATATGAACTTATCTTGGAATCTTCTAGTTGCCCCTTCGTATCTAACGCTTGTATGAATTCTTTTAAAACGTTCCGCTGCCTAAAAAAAGTGAACCACGTCTCTTAACCCAATTTAACCAAGTAATAACATCAAAGAAGATATTGAAAAAATTTTGGTTTGTAACTGATCCTAGTGTTTGCCACTTCAAAAAATGACTAAACTATCTATCGTAAACCTCACGTCTACAAGTTGTTAGATCAGAAAGTGTCAGTAATTTACACCTGCCGTACTTACACTTTTAGTACGCCGTCTAATCAATGGTGATCGAATTGTCTCTCGTAAAACACATCTCTATCGTTATAAAATGCATTCTTTCAAGATAAAATCAATAAGTTAAGAATTCTTAGTTTATACAGCATTAAAAGCAATCGCAACAAATTTATGTACCGTTTCGAAAATATTATAAGCGAATAAAAAGTGTTCCGGCTTCGTCCTTGCCTGAAAATATAAATTACATAAGAAGCTACCAGAAGAAGTGCAACTTATTAGATGAGAGTTGTATCCTGAAAATTCAATGTTCTCCAGTCTAAATACAGTGTATTTTCTGGCATAGTATCGAACAATGCTCAATGCTAAAGTCATGTCAGATAGAAAAGCTGCACGATGCCTTGTGGGAGATACCATATTTTGGTTCAGCTACCGCCAAATCGTTCCTCCATCAGCAAATGTTGAGACCACCGGTTCATGCGAAAAAGTTTAGTATAATAACCAGAAGTGAGCATTCTGGTATAATAGCGGTAGCGAACTATGTGAAAGCCAATCCAGACACCGCTACTATTACAGGCGAAAGACTTGACAGACAAGAAAAGATCTATGAGAACCGGATACGACTTAAAGAGAGGCCTGAGTTTGAAACCACAATAGAAGTTGAGGTCGTGAAGCTAGAGACTGCAAGGTTAGAGTTTGAGGTAGTATTTTAGAACAGAGAGGTGAGTGCCACTTTTTGAATTGATTGAAGAATACTAAAGTGGTAGAACACGAATTGGGCACTCACCGAGTATGATCAAGATGTGTGCAGAACTCTATGCATACAGTTGTCGCTGGTAATATTTTATCTAGGTTGCAAGAGTTAAATCGAGACAAACTCTTAAGCATGGCCACTTACCAACAACTACTGAATACCTCTGCCATATGTGCCATGGAAAAAGTTAAATATGTTTTCTGGTCAAGTCGAGCAAGCCCACAGTCAGTTCAAGATAGGAAAAGTTGGGAAGAGAACAAAGTCTCAGCAAACCTCAGATTTTGTACCCCTTGAAGATCAGTGTCAAAATGATGTCAGAATTTGCGCGACAAGTGCAGGTTTTGACAGATTGAACAAGAAATGAGGTCAGAGAGTGACGTGTCAAGTGACTGGCTTTACAAAAGCGAAGTAAAAATGACTGTGATGAAGATGGAGATCGACGAGATTGATTATATTTGGCTAGAAAAATTCATGGACAACGATCAGACAAGAGTGGTCATGAATGCTGCGTCAGCGCTCATGAACCAAGAAGATCCAAAAAAAATTACGATACACTGATCATTGTCTGATCTTTGTCAGTGTACCGTAATTCTTTTTGAATATTAACCGGTTATAAAAAATTTTTCAGCTGGAAGATTGACTAGGACGCTGCAAGATAGAAGCCATATTAAGAGAAAGAATACGCTGGAAAGATTAATAAGATTAGAAAATGAAATGGTTGAGGAGTGGAATTTGTGCACGATGAAGGAAACAAAAGAGACTTCAAATAAAGTTACAGAAAGAATTTAAGAGAATCAGGTTAAAATGACTTCTGAACAAGCTCAAGCAATAAAAACGTCAGAGAATTTATCTATGCATGCTCCATACCTATTACCACATATTTGTAATATCTCTTACAATGTCTCATTTGTATGAGTCAATCTTGTGAGTCAACTATAAACCATTCCAATTTTTATACAGTGCGGTTTTCACCTCAAAAATCTTTTTTTCTCTTAAAAAAACTCACTTTTAGTGATATCAAGCTGTCTCATATTTATCCTGTAACTGACTACAGGTAAATAGCACAGGTCATTTATTTGGTAGCTTTTCTCTAGAAATTTCTCGTATTTTATTATCAATTAGTTGTATAATCTTTGTTAAATCATCTAGTGCTTTCTTACAAAGCTTTTCTTTCAGAAATACCATTGTTTCCTTATTAAAACCATAATTATTTGTTTTTATAGTTAATTGCTTAGATATGTTTCTAACTTTTCATTTTTAGCTGTCATTCTAAGAATAGAGTAAAAAATAAAATAAAAAACCAATCTGAAAATTCATTTATAACTTGTCCATCAATATGTTTTCGTGTCTCAATTTCCTTGATTTGCGTTTTGAAGGAAAATTTTAGTAATTTTTTGCTGGTTTTGAACATCTATATATTGTTTCAGTTAAAAATCGAAAACAACGATTAACTGTCAAAATTTAAGAAAAGAAAAGATTTTAAAATTATTCCTTTCTTCCAAGTAAACTGATAATTTTCTTCGTTACTTGCAGCATAGCAGTTTTTTTGCATCATCAGAACTCTGAACGGGGCCAGACAAGTGTGAGAGAAATACTGAAAGAAATAAACAATCTCTGATAATTTTGTTTTTCGTACACTTAGTTTGCACGTGTTAAAAAAGATCATGACTTCTTATCAGTTTTTCCCTTCGCTTCTTCCCTCCGTCAATTTTTGTCCCAATCACCGACTGTTACGTTTAAGACGACAATGTTAAAATTTTTCACCACTCTTCCGTAAAAGTTTTCTTACATTATTGCTCAGGCAGATTCATCCAGAATAAACAATCTTTTCAGTATTAGAAAGTATCGGTACTTTAAAGCTCTCCTCATCCATTACAAAATCGTTAACAGCCAGCAACTACATAGATCATCAAACCAGTGCCTCACAAAGCATAATTAGTTAAAGTAAATTACAGCATAAAAGAACGACTGACGTTTTCACATAGTAAAAAAAAATCAGCTCAGAGTTACCATACTTTCACGTAACAATAAATTTGTACAAGTATTTATAATTATGTTTAGGTCTACAGCTTGTAGAAAGATTGTGAACTGGTGGTACCCAAAGTGAGAATATTCCTCTGCAGAAGCCGTAAAAGGTCCAAGACAAAGGAAATGAAACTCTTTTCACTTTGTAGCCTACCAAAGTTCAAAGATTTGCCAAATTTCTACTTAGAAGAACGGCCGTCAGGTTCCACAGTTTTGCTACCAAAAAATAAAAATGTTAATTTCCAATCCCAATGAAAGGCAATCATTTTGAATTCAAAAAATAATCATTTAACACAAAGCGTTTCAACCAAAAATTTACAACAAAAGAAGATTTAGAGTTTACAAATGCTGAAAAAAAACTGCCTTCACTTTTTTAAAAAAACCAAATTTTGTGGGAAATTTTCTTGTCTACAGAACGAAAGGTTTTAAATTGAAACCTCTGTAGAACCGAAATGTGATACGCGTCAAAATAAATTCAGGTAAATGATTTTGTTTTGTATTAGGGAATTAGACATTCTGACAACAAATCTTAGGTGCAGCAAAAACAGCGGGAGATAAATGATGGATTTCGCTAAAATAGTGGTTTCAATTCTGAATGTTAAGAACTGCTCAGTGCACAACTTTAAATTTCAAAGGAAGAAAAGACTTTTACATAGCTTCAAAAAACAAAACGAACTTGATTCATTTTTGAAACATCATTTCAAAGTCTATATTTTTGCGCATTTTCATCAATATTTGAGCTATTTTTATAATTTTAAGAGCAGGGAAGACATACTGTCATGTGAAAAAAACCTGCTAGTTCTGAAAAATTGCACTTGAAAAGTGAAATTTTAAAACAGACAAATCTCAAATTTTCTTGAATTTCGATAGCCCTTCACATGGTGTACAACGAACAACTGTGCAAAAACAGGCACGAATGTATTTCAAAACTGCGAGGGAGAAAAGCAACGATATGTCAAGGGATGGCAATAAAATTTTGGTTCAAAATGGAGTGATCGGCCAAAAAAGTTTAGGAGGCATTGCTATAGAGGATAAGTGAAGAAAGCTGTGTAATTGGGTTTCTTTTGTTTTTTCCTCTCTTTATCAAAACTGCGCCCCCTGAACAGTGTTGGCAGAGGGCACCTTTGTTTGCGAAAAATTATTGAAACTGCTCCTGTTTGCAATATGGACTCGAAAACACCATTAGTAATCAAGCTTCACAAAGATCTAGAAACGCTCGTGCTAAAGATGCGGCGCCGTATGTCTGATTTGTTTGGGATAAGGCAGCGGTACCAACACAGAAATCTACAAGCGGTTTGGAAATAAAGGTCTGTATAAAACCCAAGTCTGTATAAAAATCCAAAAACATCAGAGTAAACCATATCAAGGTGCATAAGTTTACTGCTGCAATAAAAGCAGGATACAGTAGATACTCATCAACATTCAGGACAAATAGTTCAATTCAGCTAACTGTTCAGTTTACCAAGAGTTTCCTTTGAAAGTTTGATTTCTTATTGGTAGTAGCCTAAATTAACAATTTAAAATTCTTATTGACTACTGCTGATAGTCTTATATGCACTGATGTCCATTTATCAGTGTTGATTTTTCAAGTCTTAGTTCTCAAAAGTTTTTAAACTTGCTCAGTTTTTAAAAGAAATATTTAATTATTTTTTGTATATTTTAGTAACAATTTATAGATGGTCGAAACAAGATTTTACAAGGTCTAGAAAAAGTTAACTGGATTTCCAAAAATGTGTTGTTATATGATCTGTGTTTATGCGCAGCGGTTCAAAAATTCAGTTTAGGTTTTGAAAGTTGAGTTCAAAAAGGCAGATTTATTTTAATAGAACTGAGCCGTCTGAATTTTTTTTTTTTTTTTTTTTTTTTTTTTTTTTTT